ATTTGATTATGAACTAGGCACATCAAATACTTAAATCAATCAAGCAGTTGCAAACTACTTTATAATCGTAGCCTTGAGGCTACCACGTGGACCAATTAAACAATATCTGTCAGATCTATATAACCTCACTTTCTACGTTTTATTTATTGTTTATTATGTTTGATGAGTGAAACGAGTTGCATAATATACTATTTTACGACAAATAATGTATGACCAATAATCACATACTTCTAGACATATACAATCATTTCTAACTGAGACTGTTTCTTTGTATAAAAAGGTTTTTTATTCAATTGACTGTTCCCATTTTGTAGGGAAAGTGAGAATCACACGGACCGGCAATGGCACATAATATGCATATTATGCCACTTTTTACTTTTTATAAAGCCAAACCATAGAAATTTATGTAAGCATAGCCTATTATAGGCGATGTAAGCAAATGATTTAGAAAAATTTGATAAAACCTAAATTTTATTTAGTTGACTCCTTAGAAGAAAAAACTTCTAAGGTTAACACCAGAGACTCTCTGGTTCTTCTTCTTCTTCTGGGTGTTATGGCTTTTCCCTTCCGGGACTTAGCCAGCTGTACTTCTTTGGTTTCCCTGGGTCGCTGGGGAAGGTGGGTCTAGGAATTCCTATGGCTTTCCCTGTTCTAATGTTGTCCTTGGTGGTGTATCTGCATGATTTCAGGTATCTTGTTAACTCATTCGTGTAATGTTACACTAATATTGCTACTTTTCTGGTATGTATATTTGTTTGTTGTTATTATTTAGTTTTTTTTTTTTTTTTTTTTTTAATTTGTATTTTACTATTTTTTTTTTCACTTCCGCTGCTATATGTTTAATTTATTAATGTTAATGAATTTAAATATGAGTTCCCATATCTTGCTGTTGGCCTTTTGTAAGACCACAGCCATGTTAAAAGGTCTAACCACCCCCATCCTGTGTATCTCCTGATATAAGTCAAAGTTGTCTGTCCTGTTGATTGGACAGCTGAGAAAAATATGGTCTATGTCCCCAGTCTCACCACATTCACAGAGTGGGTGATCATATATCCCAATCCTGAACAAGTGTAACTGTGACTGGAAATGCCCAGTTCTTAGCCTGATTATGGTAGTCATGTGTCTTCGGTTGTTAAAAAGGTAGTTTTTTGAAAAACGGGACCGCGGGGAGTCCCCCCTGCACCCTAGAGTAAAACCTTCCTCTTTTTTTTGATATCTTATTAAAGTCCGATTCCCAGCTTTTTAGTATACCCTTTCTGATTGATGGTAATATCTCAGCTGAGCTCAAATTAATGTTAAGTGGGTTATTAAGCGTGGTTCCCAGTTTGGCCATCGTGTCCACCAACTCATTGCCATAAATCCCGTTATGACTTGGGATCCATGCTAGTTTGCATTCTTTTAGGTTAAGTAGTGTTCTTTTTGTGTTTAGCGTTTGATATTCGTTTTTTGCGTTATACTTGGGTGTTGTAATTTTTGTTATGGCACTGAGTGAGTCAGACAGGATTACTCCCCTGTCCACCCCCCTCAATTCCATCTCCCTTGCTGCCTTGCTCACCGCAGCGACCTCTGGTTAACACTATGATAATACCATCACGATCAGTGTTGCCACTTGTAACATAATTATCGAATTGTAACATAATTTTTTCTAAAAACAAAGCTTGAAAATTATATGTAACATAATCGATAATTGTAACATCCAGATTAATTAATTTAATTAAGCATAAAGCCTGATTTATAGATTTCCTTCCTTCCTCCCGTAAAAGATCAACAATACCGTAGTGCTGTTTTTAGATTCCCGTAAGGTTTTTATAGTTCTAAAGGTAACGGTAGAGGCAGCGGTAGCGCTAGCCCTTAACCAAACCATGGTTTGGTCTAGGGCGCTAGCCAAGTTGGGCATTGAATATTATATGAAACAATTTATAGTTTTTAGAGGTAGCGGTAAGGGAAGTAGAGGCAAGAACGTAGCGGCGATGACCATCTTTCATCTTTTCTTACCTCAACCGCTACTCCAGCCAATAACACGGAAGTATTTAGTTGGCAGCCTCGCCTTGTAAGTTTAGTGTTTATGCGAGGGGCCGCCATTACCGCTACCGCTACTTTCTGAACTATAAATCCAGCTTTATACTATTTTTAACAAATTTTATAATTTTCTAAAAATTCGATATTTTAAACCCTGCTTCTTTCACTTTTTTATGATTAAATTATAATAACTATTGTAACATAATTATTACAATTATTGTAACATAATTTTCCGATAATTCGATAATTTTATTAACCCAATTCGATAATTTCAACTTTTACATCTGGCAACACTGATCACGATACACAAAAACCTGCTGCTTATGCAAGATACTATCGCTAACAAAAAAAACTCATACATCTTAAAAATCTAGTGTTCCTGATTTTCTATCATTTCGTTGGAGTAATTATGGCTTTTAACATGATACGTCACATTTGAAAGGTCTAAAATTAAATACAAAGTTAGGTTGAAGTTTGAAAAAAAAATACCTAATATTTCGTCATCCCTCTGTTTTTGTCAATTACTGCCCGCAAACGGCAAAGCATGGAAGTCGCCGTCTTGCTTTATCTCGTTCCAAATGGCTTCAATGGCTTGCCAGAGTTCGTCTGCATTGTTTGGTTGAAAATGTTGTTAAAAAAGTCATAATGGATGTGACCATAGAAATAACACTTTCTATTATTTCTATTATTATTATTATTTCTATGGATGTGACAAAGCTCGATGTCAGCTTGACATTGACGGAAAAGTTTTATTCACACAGCCACAATATAGCTGTATGAGTTTTTTTTGTTAGCGATAGTACATACACCTGCTGCTTATGAAACATGGTCTGTGTTATGAAACGAAAACTCGTCGACTCCGCGCATGTGACGTCACGTGCGAACTAGATTCAATTTGAATCATTCAAATGTCACAAACAGTTTTGCATAGCATAGGTACCTAGGTACTACCTACGCTATGTACGGGTGTTTTACTACGAGTTCTTTAAAGTTTTTTCGAAAATTATTGTGTTGTTATAAGTATAACCCACGCACGATCGTTTTGCAAAGTTTTTCGTAGAGTTTTACTGCATTTATTGAACAGCAATAACTATTTACAAGGCACGGGAGTTTTATACCAGGTTATTTATTAAGATCGTGTTATATTACAAATTTTGTTGGACTATTTAAAATATGCCGTTCTGTGCTCTAGAAGACAGCAGAAATATGAACGGAAACTCCAACACCCAACCTAACCTAACATTAAATATTTTTGATTTCCAAAAAATAAAGATCTGGCAGCACAGTGGATGAAGGCATGCAAGGGAAAGGATAAAATGAAAATAAAAAACGGTAAGTAAAGGCAATTTAAAACACAATTGTATCGGAAACCCGCTTCAAAAGTGTCACAAGTAAAAAAAGCAGTTTTGAGATTTTTTTTTACTTTCGACACTTTAAAGCCTACCTGCATGCATTTTATACATTATATTGAAAAAATTTAAAATTCGGTCTAGCGTAAGTTAAGTTAATTCAATAAAATTAAAAATATTTTGAAAAATATTAATAGGAAGGTAGGAAATTAATTGTTGCTTAATACACGAATTTAATTTAGGCACGAGCGAGCGAGCGAGTGCTTAAATTAATGAGTGTATAGAAAAGTTTATAAACGAGGTGCATACCTTCTATACTTTTTCTACGACAATTTGTCTCTATACAAATTTTTGATTTAAATCATTTTAAGATAATAATAAGTATTTGTCGTCGACAAATACTTATTATTATCTTAAAATGATTTAAATCAAAAATTTATATAGAGCGCCATCTATGAAACAATAGGGGAATATTCCCGCACAGTTATCTGTGTGTCACTGTCAAATATATATTTTTTTTACTCCCACCTTTAAAACGCCCTTTATCGTACATGTTTCCATGACACTAAGTGACCTTTTAAATACACATTGACAAGTTGTGGCTTTATGGCGCTTTAGTCACGGGCTGAAGTTAGCAACAGGTTTTTAGTCACGGGCTGAAGTTAGTTTTAAGTTAGTTGACAGTTGTCAAATGTCATACAATCGTTAAAATAAAGTGCCTTTCTTGTAAAATAATACCAAATGTGAAAATTATTTTTTTATCTTAATAAAATAATACAAAAGTATTAAATAGTTTCTCAACGCCAATATTTGAAAAGTTTATATGAACATTGTACTGACCTTTTAATTTCGCCGGCAGAAAACTAACTTAAATTCGGGCACGGACTCCACTGTAAAGTGCTCATAAAACATTTTCTTTACTTTCACTGTAAAAAACTGTCAATTTTCAAGAAATACATTTTGATTTATAACCTTTATCGACAAACAAGGTCATCTATACAAAATAGAAGCTAACAACCGGTATATGTGCCAATAATTGTATAGAGCGACATCTATACAAAAATAGAGTAACCAAATTTCTGCTAACTTAAGCCTGATTTATAGATTGTCTTCCTTCCTTCCTCCCTTCCTCCCGTAAAAGATGAACAATACTAAAACCGTAGTGCCGTTTAAAGATTCCAATACGGGATTGTATTGTTAAAAGTTTAAATTTTAAACTTTTGTATGTACGATAATGGGCGTTTAAAAGATGAGAGTAGAAAATACCATTTTCAAAATAGTATATTATGTACTAAGTTTTATAATAGTATACTTATTAAAGAACCAATGTAATAAGACAAAGGATCAAGTTTTGTAATGGACGAGTGCAAGACTTGAGTTCTTTCTACTATTTTTTCTATATGGCAAAGATTAAATATACTCTTTCAAGAGTAGGTAGGTATATTTAATCTTTGTTTGTGTATCATACTGTTGCCATGTATCAGACGCAATGCGTATCGTACTGTGCTTATTATGGTATACAAATAGAAAAACATCTTTCTCATACGTACCTATAGGTATATTATAATACTATTAAAGGAAATGTTTGGGAAGCTTTGTTGAAAAAAAAGTCAATCTTTAAATACAGAGAATGTTTTAATTTAGAAATTTTAAAAGGAGGATGATATGATATAAATATTTACATTAAAAAAATTAGATCTAGGATCTATTTTGTATTTTCTTCTAAAATATAAAATATAATAATGAAACAAAATAAACCTTCTGCTCAGCATTCAAAAATAAAAATAACAACAATATTACGTATGTGTTTTTTTGTTTCACAATAAGAAAGTTTATTTTCACCTTGGACCATTTGTTTCTAGATGGAGCGTTGCGTCGTCTATGGGCAAATGGTCTAAGGTTTTTCTTGAACAAAGTAGGTAAAAACGTTTTTAAATATTTTTACTACAGCAAAAAAATCTATACTATATCTCTACATGCAGTTTTTTTATTCAAAATGTGCATAATATACATAATTTACTAATTTCTCGATTTACGTATTATTTTTACAATGTTTTTGAATTACATTGAGATTGGAAGAATTTACATTTTTTATTTGGTATATCGCCAAAATATACTCGACATATTGCACTCGGTAAAATTATTCGGAAAGTCAATTTAATAACACTAAATTTTTGTTTTTAAAATAATCAACAACAAATTAAAATGTGGCAAGACAATTATTGTATTATTTCATAAATATTTCTATATATTGGCTGGACTTATTTTTTACGATATGTAACATTATTTTATTATTTCTATCATCTTTAAATTAAAGCTATGTAACAATTTTTTTTAAACGATTTATTTGAGATCTTATGCCAAATTAGGTTGAAATAAAATAAATTAAAAATCAGTACTGGCCTTTTTACAATAAACAGTTTAAAACACCAAAGGCCCACTTTATACAGGATGCCTTAAAATATGTACAATTTAGATTTTTTTAAATATAAATTTACAACTGCTTATGAGATCTTGACGAAATTTGGTTTTTTGACAAAACAAATTTTAGCTAAATCACATAAACCAATTTAAATTTAATGAAAAAACGACCTTTTACAGACACCCTGTATAATAGACTTTGGTTTTCTGTAATATGCCCTTTAAAAAATAAAAATGAAGAGACTAGAGCTATTTGAAAATATGTACACAAAAAATAACTTTGGGTTTGATATATTTTGGCCATTTTTCGATTACGAAAAAAACTAAAAAAAAAAATGATTTAAATTAAAAAGTTTATCACAATGTTTAAAACATTTTGCAACATTTGCCAAAAATCAAAGGCTTATAATATTAATAATTAATAATGGTAACAGTCTTACTTATTATAACTACATATATACAGGGTGATTTTTGAGACACCCTGTATAAATACAAAAAATGTACGGAGATAATTATCCTAATAATAATAATAATAATCGAAATAACTTTGGCAAAAAAGTCAATAATTGTAGTACTGGAAAATCACAATATAATAATAATAATAATAATAATAAATTAAAAACGATCAAGTCATTTATGATTGCACTTTACATTTATAACAATAACACTTGCTCTTCACATAAATGAAGTCCATGTTTATTAACTTTTACAGGGTTTTTTTAATAGTCCCACCTTTCGTTTTCACTTTCTTGTTTGACCGATTGTTTGTCACTATCTTCAGGTTGTTGTTCGCTGTTATCAACGTCCTCGTCTTCTTCTTCGTTCTTCTTATCGGTGGCATTATCGTTATCGTTCGATATCGACGAGGCGTCGCTGCGATCGTCATCGAAACGGTCGTTGACAGGTGTCGGTTCGACGCGAACTGTCTCTTCGGAATTGCGCCTGTCGTAGTCCTCCGTCTGCATAACGCACACGCCGTTAATAATGACCTCGTCAGCAGGGTTCTTCGTGGTTTTGTCTTCCTGCCAGTCTGGGTTCACCCACTGCGGCGCAACGGGTTTCCTCCGACTTGACCTGCCGCGATTTGAAGGCGTTTGTTGCTCCACTTTGCTGTTGCTTTCTCCATGCAAAGAACCAGACATGTTGCTGTCTTCGGAACCTACATTGCTCTCGACGTCTTCCTCGTCATCATACATGGGTTCGCGTTTCAAAGACGTCATACTCAAGTCTAACCCTGACATCTGTTCTTTCACCGCGTTGTTCAGCATATTCATGTCCACGTCGGTTGGTAGCAAACCTCTGCTTATCAAGGCAGCCAAGTTGGTGTTGGCTGTCAGATACGGAGGATACGGCAGCGGTACCCCAGAGATCCCCATACGCTCCTTGCTTAACTCCATTAGTCTTTGGTTGAGCAGCAATCTGAATTGCACTGGATCGAAGGGTTGGTTGTTCCCCGATTGATCTCTAGGAGGCAAATCCGACGGCATCCCATGTGGTACTTGTTGCTTGAGTCGCATTCTGTGGTTGTGGAACCAATTGGTGATGGTTCTACTCGATAAACTCAACTCGGTTGCCAAGAACTCGATGGTGGCCACGTTTGGGTACGGGTCTAACGCGAAGGCAAGCCTCAATGCTTCCTTTTGTTCCTCACTGAACAAAACTCGCTGTTTCTTCGCGCTCTGAGGGCCAGGACCAGGCGAGTTGCTGTGGTAGAACTCGCTGGTATCGTTGGAGCTGGTGTCGGATGAATTATCGTGAGCCCCGGGTCCTGATGATCGCCTTCTTTTGTTCGCTTCTCTCCTTTCGTTTTTCAATGCTTGCAACCTGTCCACGTTGTGCGCATCATTCAACCACAACTGCATTCTGATGAACGGTTCGCGACCTTTGATGCTCAACATGTGCCAAGGTTTCGGTTTGGATAGAAGTTCGCTGACGGAGCCTTGCGACAAGCCTAGAACGGCTTCACCAAAGATCTGCAAGAAAAGACATGAGTTAGTGATGTAGACAGCAAAAATATAGTCTAGTGTTGTCCCAGGTGAAAATTGTAGAGTGAAAAAGTTAGTGTAACAATATGCGATGGAATGATAGTGTTCCACATCAATCAAACTTCACACTTAAATATACATTTAACAGTAGCCAAGCTCTGGTAGTGCCCAGTAGTGTAAATATGCAATCAGGGGGTGTTCAGTTGACTAAAACGCATACTTGTTTCGTTCTTTGCTCTCTCAGAATTTGTGTTGGAAGAATGCACCAAGCTGTTTAGTTGTGGTGTATAATTACTAAAGGTAAGTCAATTTCAAAGTACTATTATTCATCATGGTTTATAATGTCGAAAATCGCGGTAATTTATATTTTTATATTAATTTGAATTTTATTTGTCTTATATAAACATTATTTAAATACCTCATCAAGATATCTGCAGCGCTACCCAAAAGTAATTCATATATTAAATTATATATATTTTTTAAGCATACAATAATTTTAATATTATAACACTTACACGTCTATATAAAAAGATTTCATATTAATACTAGTCAAAATATTATTAAACTCGTCAGTTAAACCTAACATGAAAATTATGTGACATAATTTTAAGAAATTAAATGCTTGAAAAAAAAATGTATATAAAACACGGCGGCGAAAGCTTATTAATTGCTTCGCACACAATCTACACTGTTCAAAATTTCATGACCATTTTAACACCAAATTAACACCAAACATGGTCTATATCGATACAAACCAAAATGGTGTTAAATAAGGTCCGTTGGCCGGTGTAAATTCAAATACTAAAATGGTGTTAATTTAACTTTCACACAGTATTAAAATAAATTTTATTTGGTGTAAATTGAACTCCTTTTCAGTGTTAAATATTATGTGTTTGTGGACAAATTAAATCATACTACACAGAAAAAAGGAAAAAAAAGGAAACAGGAAGTTCCTTGACGCATTACTAGTATATTACCAGTGGTATTATTCCAGAAAATGGAACCTTCAACTCGCTAGAGATAATGTTTTTAGTGCGTTGCACTAACTTAAAATACTTTAAGTATTGACAGCTGTTTCCACCTATTTAAGGTCTCTTTAGTATCAAACAACTTGTAGTCACACCAAAGCAAAGGATTACCTCAGTTTATATATTCTTCATGTAAGTCAACAGACGCGAGATTTAAGAACATCACGTGATCCACACCGCCTTTGCCGCGATCGGTACACATGTTCAACCATAATTTATGGTGTTAAATTAACACCACTTGGTGTTGGATTTTGACACCATTTTAAGATTACTTTTTACACCACAGATATTTTAAACAGTGTACTGCTGTAAAATGCATGCTCGGCGATAATATGTGCTTTCTCCGCTTAGTATATACATAATTTACTGATATTATATTATATATTATACCATTTTTATCGACATTAAATGCATTTTAAGGGCACACTGCAGACACCAATCTTACACAATATTGGTGAACAATTTTTAAATCTATTAGTGTTAGGATAAACACTAGATAGATTGCATTTCCAGAACTATTAGGAATAGCATTCACACTAATAGTGAAATAAATGCAAATAAATTATGTCATAGTAAACACTTTTAGAGAGCTTCCGAACGGTTAGTGTAGTAACTTTTAATGAAATAGTGTATGAAGTCGCACGAACTGTGTTAAATGTATAATACTCTATCTTATAGTATCATACATTTAACACAGTTCGTGCGATATAGTCTATAAGAGTACAATTTACACTATTAGTGTAGTAACTTGAATATGAATTCGCACAAACTGTGTTAAATGTGTTACAATACAAGAGTACAACCCCTAGAGTTAAAACAACACTAAAATTAAAGTGTTAATTTGTAGTAAAGCCTAGTGTGAAACTTTTTTGGAAATGTAGAGGAAGTTTAACAGATAAACAAAACAAACATATCTTACTTCTCTTACCTTTTGCCCAATGTTGTTGGCCAGCAAAGCTTCCTTGATCTTCGTGGTAATGACCTGGGTATCCAAATCCTGCGTTAGTGCTGCCATCTCGTAAACACTCGGCGACATGTGTTGCTGCATGTTCCTCAACGAAGCATTGTGTCCCATTGGCGAATGAGAGGGAACCCCAAGCGGACTCTGATTTGCTTTCTTCAAGTGTTCGGGATTTTGCAGGCTGATGGCGTGATGTGGCGGCATGCCGGGCGGCGTTAAGAGCATAGGTGGGGGCGGGGGTTGCGGGATGCCCACCTGTGGAGGTCCCAATTGGAGGGAGGCTGGGAGTAAGCTCTGGGTTTCCTGCATTTTGTTGAGGAGACCTGCCGCTTCAGAAAGCATTTTTGTGGTTGGAGGCATAGGTTTGCCTAGGGTTGTGGTGCACGCTCCACCATACCCACCGGTTCTCATCAGTTTTTCGGGTGCGATTTTGTATTGACTCGCTACCAACTTGTGGACAGCATTGTCATCCTCCAAGAACATTTTCATCCTGATGAACGGTTCCCTACCTTTCTGTGTTAGCATGTGCCATGGTTTTGGGCGTGCCAAAAGATCACTGACCGATCCCTGTGATAACCCCAAGACGGATTCTCCGAAAAGTCTTTGCGATATCGAATACTGCGATAACTGCTCCTTGACTTTCTTCACAATATCTTCAGTGTTCAAATTATTGTAGAGATCGAACTGTTGTTGCGTGATGGGTGGTAAAACTGCTTTCAACGGGCGTTGATTCGTCGAGTGATGCGGTTGAGTTGGGGGTTGCGATATAAGCGAGTTGGTGATGGAAGCCATCCTCTGAAGAGGGCTGGCAGCTGCTGAACCTGTGAATTCGTCTGTAGGTGTCATCGGCGGTAGAATATTATTCCCCAAAGGGCTCGACGCAGTTGATCCGGTGTTTTGTGAACCAGGTTCTAGTTTCGGCCGCACTAGACTGAAGGCGCTGCCGCTGTGTCTCATATCCTCCTTGATGTCCTTATCGTCCATGCCATTCAACATCTTCATCTTATCCTTCGGGATGGATAAATCCTGAACACCGCCGTTGCTAGCTACGGATTGTTGGTGATGAGCCAATGCTTGTTGTTGAAGTGCTAGAAGCCCAAGGGGCATTTGAACGGGGTTTGCGCCCGGATTCAGCTTCGCTAACTCTCTGTGGTAGGCGTCCAAAGCAAGCCTGATCTCGTCCTGAGTGCGGTCCATCGGGTTTCCGCTAAACAATTGGGGCAGAAACATACTGAATATTAGGTTAGCACTGCTCAATGGTGAAACGTGGTCGAAAGGCGGTAAAATAAGCAATATATTGTCTAAAATTTGATGAAAAAAGAAAATATATTGTTATTTTAGCGTTCATCATCGTTTACTACTTACCCAGGGAAGTTGTTCTCTCTTGGAGCCCGGGTATCCTCGATTTTTCTTCCCATCAACTTCACCAACTCTTCCTGGTAAATCCTGAAGACTTTTTCGTGCGGAATATCATCGTTTTCGTACTTCTTTAAGCGTTTATTCAACGATGAATCCTTGGAGAAGGGGCTCGAGCAACCGTGGCCGGGGGATTTCGAATCGTCGTTCGAATTCTCTTCGGTTTTCAGCTGTTGGAATTGCGATGCTTCGCTCAAAATGTGGGCAATGCGTTCTTCGGAAATGTCGTTATCGGGACGGCCGAAAGGGGGCATGCCGCCGCCGGACTCTTTTCCTGTTGAAAAATTGTCTGTAAGTAACGGAAAACATCGACTTTATTATTTGATTTTTTTGCCTTAAGCTACTGTGGCAAAAGAGTTTTCAAGGTGCAAATAATCTATCAAACTTGATCAATTAGCTTTGTTCTAGCTTAATTTGACGATCTTAAGGCAGTTATAGCTAGAAGTTTAGATATATCTTAAAACATTTATAGCTAGTTTAAGGCAGTTTTAGCTAGCTCATGTTGACATTTTTAAAACAGTTATAGCTAGCTTAACTTTGCATTCTAAAAATATTAATTGCTAGCTTGACTTGACATTCTTAAGACAGTTATAGCTAGCTTAAGTTTACATTCTTAAAACAGTTATCGCTGAAAGCTAGCTATTACTGTTTTAAAAATTTCAAGTTAAGTTAACTATAACTGTTTGACATTCTAAAGACAGTTCTAAAAAGTTGGCATTCTTAAGACAGTTATAGCTAGCTTAAATTGATATTTTGAAACAGTCTTAGCAAGTTTAAATTTACCTTTAACGATCTTAAGGCAGTTATAGCTAGAAGTTTAGATATATCTTAAAACATTTATAGCTAGTTTAAGGCAGTTTTAGCTAGCTCATGTTGACATTTTTAAAACAGTTATAGCTAGCTTAAGTTTGCATTCTAAAAATATTAATTGCTAGCTTGACTTGACATTCTTAAGAAGGTTATAGCTAGCTTACATTCTTAAAACAGTTATCGCTGAAAGCTAGCTATTACTGTTTTAAAAATTTCAAGTTAAGTTAACTATAACTGTTTGACATTCTAAAGACAGTTCTAAAAAGTTGGCATTCTTAATACAGTTATAGCTAGCTTAAGTTAATATTTTGAAACAGTCTTAGCAAGTTTAAATTTACCTTTTTAAAACAGTTATAGCTAACTTTAATTGACAGTTACGACAGTTATATCTATCCAAAAATATCCGTAAGACCGTTGTCATGTTATATACAGTATATAATTTACTGAAACTAGATATGTTAAGAATGTCAACCCAAGCTGGCAAAAAGTGCAGTTTGACGATCTTAAAAAGTTTATAGCTAGCTTAACTTTACATTCTTAAGATAGTTATGGCTATGTAGCTTTACTTGACAATCTTAAGACAGTTAAACTTAACTTTACATTCTTAAAACAGTTATAGCTGAAAGCTAGCTATTACTGTTTTAAAAAAGTCAAGTCAAGTTAACCATAACTGTTTGACATTCTAAAGACAGTTTTTAAACGTTTAAGTTAACATTTTTAAGAGAGTTATGGCTAGCTTAAGTTGATATTTTTATGACAGTCTTGTCAAGTTTAAGTTTACATTTATTAAACAGTTATAGCTAGCTTTGATTGACAGTTACGACATTTATATCTATCTAGAATCATCCGTAAGACCGTTGTTATGTGGGTCAGAATTTCTCAAACGGGCCACCTGAATTAGGTCAAAATTAGTTTTTGTTTGTAGATACATTTTTTTGATAGTATTTTACATCACCAACACAAATCCTAAAGGATTTTGTAAAAAAAAAAATTTCAATTGACATATTCTTGATATTAAAAGTCAAAGTTTTTAATAATTAAAAAATAAAAAAATTCATTATGGCTGAACTAATTATCCGATTCCAACGATATAACTAGCGTTGGAATCTTGTTTTGACATAGATTCTTTGTTATTTTTTTCAATTGTCCTATTTTCATTTAGGTCGATTTTTTTTTGTTTTTTTTATACCAAATTCGTAAATAATTGCCTTCTGCGCCAGCTATCGACTCGAGAAAAAAAACACATATACTCCAATCATTTCTCGAAATTATGCTGCTGAGAAAAAAAATGGCCCGCAGGTTGACAAAAAGTTATTCGTCCTTTTGTGGCCGCGCGCGGTGTCAGCTCACGCTCCGAACCGTGTACGCTGTACGCGCTTGTGACGCGACGTCTTACGGTGGTCTGGAACCTGCGGGCCATTTTTTTTCTCAGCAGCATAATTTCGAAAAATGATTGGAGTATATGTGGTTTTTTTTTCGAGTCGATAACTGGCGCAGAAGCCAATTATTTCCGAATTTGTTATAAAAAAAACAAAAAAAAATCGACCTAAATGAAAATTGTACAATTGAAAAAAATAACAAAGAATCTATGTCAAAACAAGATTCCAACGCTAGTTAAATCGTTGGAATCGGATAATTAGTTTAGCCATAATGATTTTTTTTATTTTTTAATTACTAAAAACTTTTACTTTTAATATCATGAATATGTCAATTGAAAATTTTTTTTTTACAAAATCCTTTAGGATTTGTGTTAGTGATATAAAATACTATCGAAAAAATGTATCTACAATCAAAAACTAATTTTGACCAAATTCAGGTGGCCCGTTTGAGAAATTCTGACCCATGTAATATGCAGTATATAATTTACTGAATTTACTGAAGCCAGATGTAAAGTGCAAGTTGACAGTAATTTTTTTTTTAAATCTTTCAAATGTATTATTAAAAACAATGATGGATGAACTTGTGGGAAACATGAACAGTGATTTTTGTGGTATTTTAAAATTGATTATGGTAAATTTGTATCAGTAATTATAAAATCATTAGATTCCCTTTACGAGTTTATAATTTGTAGTTAAAGTTTTTAGTATTCTGAATCGTAGGTATACTAAAAATATTATGGATGCAATTTATTATCTCCCTCGGTTTTTTCTTATTTTTTATTTTTACCGACGTGGTTCGACTCGAAGATTTAATATTTGGACTTAAGCCAGAGAATTTGCTTCATTAAAATACTATTTTCTTCATTGTTTTTTGTTCGTTCGTCAATTTGCGTCCCTGCACAAAGGATGGGTTTTATTCAATGTATCATACAACATTTTTGTTGAATTTTGATTAATTTACTTTAATTTTATTTAGTATAAATAGGCCTTAAATACTTAGCAATGCTACACAAATATAGGCGAGATATATTCAACATAATTTTAATTTTTTTTATAGCAACAATAAATAAAAATCGTTATTATAAAACCACGAATAATATCGATATTGTGGAAATTAAAGAAAAACTTTTCAACTCAATTTTGACACATGCAAACTACAAACACGCGAAGTTGAAATGACGAATTTTTCGTCCCGCTTCAACACGCTATTTCCCATTGTTTTGTCTTTGTTTAGTCTTGATTTAAATACGCTCTGTGTTAACAAATGTATTGTGTAATTTTTTTCCAGCAAATCTATAGTTCATTAATATGTACATACACTTTATCAGGGCTTTAAATCTAAGCTAACTACTTAATAGTGGTGAATTTTCTTTTATTAACGAAGTACCGCATAAAATCAAGTGACCTATGGGGGATTGATTTTCAGCCATCCATCTCGCCTACGTTTGTATAGCAGCGATAACTACTTATAGCATTTTAAAGAATGGTAAACAAGTAGGAAAAATCCTAAATATATTTAAAAATAGTAAAAATTAGTAATATCGATATAATTATTGGGCGGGCCAAATATGACGAATTCAAATTTCATGATTAATTTATTTATTTGTATACCGGAAAACCGCATGAGAATAAAATTATAAAAATTATTAAATAAATCGTTTCATATATTGAATGGTTTATTGCAATTAAATATATTTAGGAAGGAAGTCGTTATCTGCAATATTATCAATAATAAATGTTATTGTGGCCCAAAATTTTCAAGTCAGGCTTGAATAAATCATATAAAATCATAGGTATGGGGGTCATGTTCAATGACAATAATAATTTTTTACAATAGAAGTTATGTAGTTTCAAATATTCCCTCCAATCAGAAATTCATAAAAATGTCAACTTAAGCTAGACATAACTGTCTTAAGAAATTAAGGGGGGATACTACAAAAAAAAACAGTTTTTTATCATTTACGTGTAGGTCAAATCTATACCATATAATAGGAGTGATAATTTTCTAAAATTTATTACAGTATATGTATAAATATCAACATCAGTAGGTAATATTAATGAACCTGTAATACCACGTTACTCAGTTTCTAGTCATTAAAAAATGGTATAGCGTGCTTAAAGATATTTTATAGATGCGTTTTTTGTCGTTAAATCCAATAATAAGAATAGCCTTGAGTGTTTTATAGATTTCTAAAACAAATCTGATCCCATGGAATAAAGATAATTGCGTTGCGCTATTATTAAAATAATATTAGACTTTATAACAGTATGCGATACGATTTGTTGTACCGTGTGACAAAACATCTAATATTTTGACTCGATGTTTAAATAATCTGCAATTATCTTCATGGGAAAGAACATATTGTACACAAACGACATTTTTCTTTTTGTAAAACAGTTATTTTTGAAGAGAAATCATCTTATTGTCGAATTAGAATTAAAATCAAGTTAACTGCGAGATTGACGTGTACGAGGTATAATTACATGAACGCAGTAGGCCTAAGTAGATTGTCATTTGTTCTACAAATGACAGTTCTGAGTTATATGAGAAAATTCAGTTAAATATGGAGAAGCCTGAACCATATGTAAGTACAATGCAATTTGAAATGATGGCTAATAACTTAAAATTAGAAAATAATGTTTCCCAAACAGTTTTATGATCAACAAACAATAATTATTATAACAATAAAATTATAATTCCTAATTAAAGAAAAAGTTTAATGTAATCAGCTAAATTGAACATTTATTCACCTTAAAAACCATCTAGAGCATGTCAAAAAATATTAAAGATTTGAAGATTAGAACCTAAGTAATTAAATATTTATTTTACCTTACAAACTCCATGGGAACAAATTATGACGAAACGAGTTGAAACAATTGAATACAATTTAATGATCAAGTAAAACAATTGAAAGATTTGTTAACTTTTTAGCAATCATTGACAAACTTGGCAATATAGTTTTTAAATTATATTTTAGGTTAGATATTAGTTATTCTTGTTTAACTTGCTATTATTAAGACAATTTTAGCTAGCTTAAGTTATTTTTAAATCGCCACATTATGTTGGATATAACATAGTTTTAAAACAGTTATAGCTAGCTTAATTTGAGATTCTTAAAACAGTTATAGCTAGACTAAGTTTACATTCTTAGCTATAGCTAGCTTCGATTGACTTTCTTAAAATTTTTTTAGCTAGCTTAGGTCTTAAAACAGTTTTAAGAAAGTTAATCGAAGCTAGCTATAGCTGTTTTAAGAATGTCAACTTAGTCCAGCTATAACTTTCAAGAATGTTAAATTAAGCTAGCTATAACTGTTTTAAAACTAACCTATATATGACTCTTTAGAATGTCAACTTGGGCTAGCTATAACTGTCTTAAGAATGTCAACCTAGGCTAGATATTATGGCTATCTTAAGCTAGCTATAATTTGACGTTTAAAACGTCATTTACCTAACCTCAAAACCGCCACATTTATAGCAATCTTGCCACCAGGTGAACCTTTTTTTTATTACATATTTTTTATGTATTGCTATTTTAGTATTTAGATTTCGCATGCAATGTAATGCTAATGATAATTAGATAGTAGTGCATTAAAATGCCACATAATTACGTATTTTGAGTCAATTGTATAATCATCATCAATTAAAATCAAAAGAAACGATTTTTTACGATGTCTATTGAAAACAATGGTGGGCTGATTTGAGATTTCATGTTTGCCATGATAAAGCGACTTCCGGTGCACGAAAATAAATAAATATTTTATCTATAAGGATAGATTGTAGATTTAGAATATAATGTTATGTAGTAGAAAATTGAAAATCCATTTAATTTTATTTAATATTGATATATTCAGTGATTGACGTCAAAACACTAATGGGGACATAAAAAGTTTTTAACGTGTAATTGCCTAATATAATATTCACCAAACATTTTAATTAAATTGTTAAACATGATCGCAAAAACGTTCCGTCCACCTGATTGCCCAGATTTAAACCGCATCGATCGATTCGCTAAACAACGCCAAACGCATGTGATTTGGGTTAAAAACGCGTGTGCACATTAAAAACAAATGAATTAAACAATGTAAAAAAAAGTAAAACGTCCAAAATCTGCCAGTGACAAGTTTGAACCGAAAGCTGAATAAAAATTGATGCGTTTATTGAAATGTTATGACGGGCGGACAAAGCGTTCGATGTACGTTTATACGCAAAAAAAGTACAAAAAAAGTAAAACAAATGTATGTAAATTGTTAATTTGGGCCCCAGACGCTGTTTTCAAGTGTAAACAATAAAAATTCGTACAAATTCGTCGACCCTTTACCTTTCGATATCAAAGAATAGGAGCGGTAGCGTCGGATGAAAAAAACAAAAGAGAAACGACGAAAAAACAGTTGCGGTTTATCAATTGACAGTCGCGAAAGGGTAGCCTGATTTGTAGCTAGTTTGAATTTCCCATAAAAGTTTAGTCAATTTAAATGTTTTAAGAATGTCAACTTTAGCCTGATATAGAACTGTTTTAATTATTTTACATTTAGATTAAGACAGTTATATCCAGCTTAGGTTGACAGTTGCAGAGCTAAATTAATGTTAACCTAAGCTAGATTATAACTGTCTTAAGAATGATAACAAAAGTATGCGGAACTTTCGCAACGCTAACTAAAACTTTTTTTAGAATGTTAATCGAAGCTATGTTTATTAACTTTGTTTAAGCTATGCTCAGTCAAAATTTTAACAATCTAGCTCAAATAGTAGGGATATACGCTGTTTTGAAGTTGTTATATTTGTTACAACTTTATTTTTTTCATTGTAGCTCAAAAAGTTTAACAGCTATAAATTTGTTATTTAAAATACATATAAACATATACTAGAGCTATATTTCTCTAAAACTACAACACTATAGCTCTATTAGCTTTTGAGTTACACGCGATTTAAAGCAATTTACGCACAATGAGGAAAAATCGTTTATTATGTAAGGAATAACATTCATCTATGCGGTTTTAAAACTATAAGACTTATATAGGTCTAATTTGGTGTGATGTTAAACATAATATACAGCTACTAAACTGCCAAATTTTAACATTTTATCTGTTACGGTTTTTGAAGTATCAACCTTTAAAAAATTATAGTATTTTTGATGTGGATGGATTAACAACATTTGATATTATTTATAGTATCTCAAAAATTTTAAGAGCTATAATTTTTAAATTGGAACCTTAGTTTGACATTATATTAAGCTACACTTACAAAGAATTTAAAGTGTTTTACTCAACTAGTTTTCATTCTACGGGCAATTAAACACAGCCTATTTATAAAATCAATCAAACCTTAGGTTGACAGTTACCAGAGATAAATCAATGTTAACCTAAGCTAGATTATAACTGTCTAAAGAATGATAACCTTAGCTCTCTCTATAAAGTTTGGACAAGCTTCCGATATAAAAAATGTTGAACCAGATGCAGAACTTCCGCACCTTAAGATTTTCAAACTAATCTAGATAACTGTATTTAGAATGATATAAAAAGTGTTAAAAGCACAATAATTTATAAAATTCTTACCTTTTTTGGGGATCAGTGATTTCAACAGCATTATAGCATTTTCATCGCAGGCCCAGGCGTGCATTTTTCTGTAGCTATCTCTACCTTTTTCTGTCAGCTTGTCCCATGGTTTGGGTTTTGATAGAAGCTCGCTTACAGTGCCCTGGGAAAGACCCAGGATGTATTTAGCGAACAGTCTTTGGCCAATGTTGTGGATTGAGAGGAGTTCCCTGACACGTCGGGCTATGTGGAGCGTGTCCAAATTTTGGGAGGCGTATTTGTCCATGTTGTAGCGAAGCATTTCTTGCAGGCGGGCCTCCATTGGGTCACCTTTGGGTATGAGGGATTCACCGAGACGTGATACCATGGAGCCTGGTGCCATGCCGAGTTCCTCAGCGAATCTGTATGATCTGTGCTCGTCGAATCTGTAAGGGCTTTTCAGGTCTTCGTTCCTCAAAAAGTTGTTTACACACATTGTAGGGGTGATGGGGATGTTGTTGTTGCTGACATGGTGGTTGTTGTTATCCTCTTGAGGCGATTTGGGGTTACCGTTCACCATATTCTCTTGGTGATGGCTTTCTTCACTCGGTTGAGGCGTCGAGGCGGTACTCTTGCTATCCACCGGCGTTTCAGGTTTGCAATCCGACGAAAATTTACTCTCATTAACCTTGGACCTCCATTTGGAGACGATCTCCTCCCCTAAGAAGGAACCAAATGTTTCAACGTTTTGGAATGGGGCTGGGATAACATTTTGAGGCGTCCTGGTTGAAGGGGTCGCTGAGGATTCTTCGTCCGCAACCCCTGGAACCAAAACAAGGACGTTTTGCTCAGAATGTGTTCACTTGCAACGTGTTGTTACAATGATTGAGGTATCTTCGAAAATACTAATTGTACAAAAAAAAGTTTAGGATGAAAATTGTGCAGAATTTGATTGTCTATAAAAAGTATGGTAACAACATTTGTTGAAAAATGTACAGGGTGTGAGATATTTTGGAAAACACATTTCTATTTTAAGGTATAGCTAGGTGACACATGACATAGCTTATTTATTACTAAATAGATTTTAAAATTATTTATCATTTTAAGGCACAACTTTTGTAGTTTTATAACCCACCCTCAAATCAAATATACTGGGTGTTTTTTTGGTAGAATAACATATTTTCAAAGATCGACACATTCTAAGGCATTTTATAGGAAGGATATACGGTATATATTATAGTCTAAAGAGCATAAAATACTGTTAAAAACAATAAATTAAACTTAATAATGTGAAATAATTATAATATTTGTCATGCCCGGCTGATTTAACCAATTTTTTATTATTCAAAAAACCTAATAATGGTATTAACTGTAAAATACATTAAACATATTAACAATTAAAAATTAAATTTAGATTGTTATCATCGAAAAAAAATTTTGCATAATTGTGTTTTAAATTTTCTAAAAATTATAATAGAGTTAGTCAAATAATTAATTATGTTGAATAAGTAAATACAATAAGTCAGGCATTAACCGGAAATCAAGATTTTTAAGTGAGATAATTTTAAAAAATATCCACAAAAACATGACATGTACAATAAGATGGCCACTATAAAGTCCAGACTTGGCTCCTAGCATTAATTTAAAAAAAGATGACCTTCATATAGCCCAGACTTATATCCCAGTAACTAAACTAACATTTAAAAAACGAATGAAGACACATTAAATCGTTGCAAAACATTTGTAATCAGTTTTTAAAATCGTTAATAAACTATTATGTTAAAATTGGGACACATTAAATCTAGTAAAGGACATGTGAAAAGAGCAATTTCATAGGAACAATTGATTTCGCAAATAATTAATCTTTAAATGTTTCTACAATTTATTAAAATATCTGGTGCGTTCCCATAAGACGAAACAATCGCTTAAATTATAACTGTATTACAAAATTTTATTTAAGAAATTTATTTTATGCTTTTTTACTTGGCTATTCTGCTTACCTTCGCTCTCAGACGGGGTTTTCAATTGTTTATCTGACGATTTTTCCGAATGGTGATCTAAATTTTTGGTTTCTGGAATGTTCTCTGTCTTCATGTAGCTGTAATAAAAGAAAAACACTGTTTAACTAAAATTTAAGAGATTTACATCATCATAAATGATTTCATCACTATCTAGAAATATTTATTTTGTTAACAAATGATTAATTATTCTTGTAAACCGATCTAAATACCTCAGATAACAAAAATTAGTTAATAAAAGTCTCACCTAACATCTCGTTTGATTTCCTCAAAGTCCCTTTGTTGTTCAAGCTTTAGCTCCAGCTTGCTTATAACTTGTCTGTGTTGATCTAGCTCGTCTTCCAGCCTGGAAATTTGAGCTATAGACGTTTCCTGTAGTTTTGATATAACTTGTTTCAACCTTTGATTCTCCTCTGACAATTGTGCAATCTGAAAATAAGAAAGAGAGTGTTATTGGGATATAATTTTGTAATTTATGTTTTATTTTAAGAAATGTTTAAGCTATGCGCAGTCAATATTTCAACAATCTAGCTCAAATAATTCGGAAGATAAACTGTTTTGAAGTTGTTGTTACTATATTTGCTAGGACAACTTTATTTTGCATAAAAAGTTAAACAGCTATAAATTTGTAATTTAAAATACATATAAACATATACTAGAGCTATATTTTTCTAAAATTACAACACTCTAGCTCTTTTAGTTATTAAGTTACACGCGTTTTAAAGCTTTTTGTGCACAATAAGGAAACATCGTTTATAATGTAAGGAATAACATTTATCTATGCGGATTTAAAACTATAAAACTTATATAGCTCAAATTTGGTGTGATGTTCAGCATAATATAGAGCTACAAAACTGCCCAATTGCAAAATTTTATCTGTAACGGTTTTTGAGATATCAACCATTAAAAAATATAATTAATATAATTGATATTTTTTATCATACCTCAACATTTTTTGGTGATATAATTTTTAAATTTAAACCACATTTTAACATTATATTAAGCTACATTCACAACGAAGTGTTTTACTCAACCAGTTTTCATTCTACTTGCAATTAAAACACAGCGTATTTATAAAATCAATCAAACCTTGATATATTTTATTAATTTCCACCAAGGATAGATTGATTCGTTTAGGGGGGTGTGGAACCCTTTTAGCAAAATTATTCCTTAATTTCACTGAAGAAAATCAATCAAAACCAGCTCTCGTATCGGTGTAGGTAGAACAAGTCATTTATTTCGAATCGCGTATACATGAGCATTTTTTAATCAGTAGCTATGTGATCTCTTCTGGCAATTTATTATATAAAGATATATCAAAAATTTCGAGGGACGATACCCTTTTGTTTTCGCAACCCTTTATGTCAATATTTCGGGGGTTGCTATCTTAAAAGTACAGACGTACATGTTGATAACGTTTTGGGAATTTATTGCAAAAAACAACGCGAAATTGAATTAATAAATTTTGTTTTGATCATCGAGGAACGTTGTTTTTGTATTAAAATCGGTAGATTTACGTATTTTGAAACAAATTGACGTGAATTCGCCTTTTGTTCGATGGCTTACATTTCAAAAGTAGCTGGCTTATATAGTAGTGGTATATGTGGACACCGGTGAGATGTATGATTAATGGTGGTTTTTATGGTAATGGGTTATGTTTTTTGATGATTTTTCGTTTCAAAAATGTTTTAAATTAGTATTGCTAATGATTTCATAAAGAAAAAGTTTGTTATTTTGTAAATTAACTTACTTTTTCTTGTTTTTCATCCATTCTGCTTGTGTGCTACACCAATAAATTTTAAAATTAAACTAATAATGCATGGCAATTAATAAAAATACTTTATCTTGTTAATTTATAGCACCTTCAGCAAACAGAGAAATCATTATCAAGAATTAAGTAAATAATATTATCGAATGAAATAGGTTTAATAATAATAAATAAAATGGAGGTGTATTTGTTGTAATGGCGTCGATGTTCATAAATTAAACATACAAGCCAGAGAGATAAATCAAATTATTTTAATCCTCACTTTTATTTTCTTAATAATAATGGTGATGTTTATCTTTTTTGAAACAAAGGATATTTGATCCTACGACAAATAAACAACAATGTAGGTTTGTCAATGAACATTTTTTGGTTCATTTTTTTTACATAGATGTAAATACTTACATAGGTGAGATGTAGTCTACTAAAAACACCAACATTTACAATTAAATCTCGAAATTAAAATTACTTATGGCTTTCAAATCATCCCCCGCGTTTTGCCAATCACTGGAAGAGAAGAGATCCCTTATTAAGGAAAAGGGGTGAAATATCCATATAGCTTAATCACCCTCCCCCCATACCCCCACCCCACTTCGATATGCCTCCCATCCATATCTAAGTTGCAAATAATCAATAATTAAAGTAAAATATAAAAGGAGTATTTTCGTATGCTGATTGGAAAGGGTTTCTACGAGGGAGAAACAAAAAGATAATACACAGATTTAAATTTTCACTAAATAAACGTATCTGCTTTTAATTGGTTGACACTCTTAAAACAGTTACAGCTATTTCAAGTTTCTTAAAACAGTTATAGCTAGCTTAAGTTGACATTCTTAAAACAGTTATAACTAGCTTAAGTTGAGATTTTTAAGACAGTAATGGCTAGCTTGTTGACATTCTTAAAAAATTATAGCTAGCTTGAGCTAACATTCTTAGAACAGTTACTGCTTGCTAAGTTGAGGTTCTTAGAACAGTTTTAAGAATGTGGCTACAACTGTCCTAAAAATGTCAAATTAAGCTAGATAAAACTGTCCTAAGAACTTCAACTACAGCATACCCATCTTCTGACATTCTTAAAACTGTTATGGCTAGCTTGAGTTAACAGTTATAGCTATCTTAATTTGGAATTTTTAAAACAGTTATAGCTAGCTTAAGTTGTCATTCTTAAAGCACTTCTGGCAAGCTTAAGTTGATATTCTTAAAACAGTTATAGCTAACTATAACTGTTTTAAGAATGCCAAATTAAGCTAGCTATAACTGTTTTAAGAATGTCAATGTAAGCTAGCCAGAAGTGCTATAACTGTTTTAAGAATGTCAACTTAAGCTAGCCAGAAGTGCTTTAAGAATGACAACCTAAGCTAGCTATAACTGTTTTAAGAATACCAAATTAAGCTAGCTATAACTGTTTTAAGAATGCCAAATTAAGCTAGCTATAACTTTTAAGAATCTCAAGTTAAGCTAGCCAGAAGTGCTTTAAGAATAACAACTTAAGCTAGCTATAAATGTTTTAAAAATTCCAAATTAAGATAGCCATAACTGTCAACTTAAGCTAGATGTGTGGTTGACATTTTTAAATTGACATTTGACAGTATAAATCAAGTTTGGAATGTCAAAATGTCAAGGCATGATACATTAAATCGTTAAAAACGAAGTTATTATGATTTTAATATTTTCATTGAAGTTTCTGAAAGGTGTATTTATGACTTTTTTCATAATTGTCACCTATAAATTTTTTATAGTCCTTCTCGACTAAGTGTGGCTATAAATAGTTTCTTTAATACTAAAAATTAGACGATAATTAGCCTATAAAAGATATTATAGTTCAATAAAGTTTTAAACATATTTTTTTTACGGCTGGTATAAATTTTTGTGAGTGTGTGACCTTTATCGTTAAAACTAAGCTAATTCAATATGTATTAAAACTATAATAGAAATGAATCCCTTGGCGCAAACAATCTAAATTAGAAAATCGAATTTTTAAGATGTATTTTAGTTTTAAATTTATACACGACATTCCCCCTGTAATGTACGTTATAGGAAATCATTCCTAATTATACTGAAAGATTTATGTCCGAATGGGGGCACTTTCAAAAACAATGCCACTAATTGAAGATGTTTTATGGGCAGGATACAAAAAAAACACGGGGAGTGAACGAAAATTTAAATTAAAAAATGATAAGAAAATGACGTCACTAAAATTTTTTGCAATGTAGTACTTAACCTAATCTATTTTATGTTATTTAATTTACCTTAAATAGTTATTACCAATAAACCGCAGAAAAAATACAGGCGCCAGGATTTGGTTTATTTTACATCATTTTATTTGTTAGTTTTAAAACCATTATCTTATTTATTTTTATTGGAATATCCATAAAACTTAATTATTTGGAACAATAGTTTTTCTTTAAATAAATAACGTTAAAATGTTAAATACAAGTTTTAGACACTGTCTCTAGAATGTCAAACAAGTTGACATTATTAGGACAGTTATAGCTTGCTTAAGTTGATATTCTTAAATATAATATATATGCATATATATAAACTATAAGGTAAAACAAAATGTAAACTTGCATTCCCCTGTATTTCATTTAAAAATGACGATTTCAAGTCTACAGCCATTATCGGGAAATTAAACTTTCTAGCATAGCGAAGCATAAATGTCTGATTGGTAAGGTTTCTCGTCTATATCTACATATTTCGATATCGGATCGAACCCCCCTTTGCCCCCCCGATTCCCCCCATCGCACATAACCCATCATTCTGACAATTAGAGAGTGATACGCTTCTTAGACTCAAGTATCGATTGATTTTCTGCTATAAAGGGAGAATTCCACAAAGATGATTAATTCTTATAAAAATTAATAAAAAAAATAAAATTTGAATTTTATTTACTTAATAACTCGTATTTTTTGGGTGTTTATGAACTAGTTGGATATGGAAACATCGGTGAGATGTATAAGCAGAAATAGTTTTTTACCAATAACTATTTTGTTGCTCGGTGCTTTTTTGTTTCCAAAATTCAAATTTTTGTAGTTTCAAACATAATTTACAATAAAAATAACCACTTTGTGGAATAAACGCGATTTTCGCTCATCTCTTTTTAGTCCGATTTACCTTTTCGTCTCTCTAGATATGGATGTATGTCCTCCCCCTTCTCCCCCCTTAAGATAAAGTTGGGGGATTTCGGTCCCTCTTTTATACGCGTCTATCTATATAATCAATTATTTAAATGACTCATATAGTGATTAAAAATCTTTAAAATAACACCCTTGTTAGCTGGCGAGGGTGCAAAACCATCCCCCGAATTAATTTTGCAAGATTTTTCCACCGCAAAAAACAAATCCAAAAAATAAGATAAAATTAGATAAATTTAATAACTTCCATTTGGTGGATAATTTCGAAGAAGTAAAAAGGAAATAGTTCATTAAATTTTTATACGTTTCTCATAATTCATATACGTTATTTTTTACGAATAAATCGTTTCGTGTATATCCAAGGTCGATACAGCTATATGTGTGTGTATCCGGTTAATATTAATTTTAATGGCCCAAACCAAAAGACCACTTTGTTACAGAAGAATAAATATCAGTTTGTAGGGTCTTTGTGCCATCGTCACACACCAGAAACGTTTTTATATTGTAAAAACGCGGTTTTTAAACATTTT